GTCGAGGGGCCGTCCTTGGCCGCAGGAGCACGCTTCGCCTCCTTGTCGCGCGCCAAACGCCACACCAAACGCTTTCCAGGCGGTGGCACCCGTGACCCAACCACGCCTCTGTGCGCGGACCCTGGGGTTGGGCAGGGCCTGATGCCGGCACCCCCCCCCCCTTTGGCCAGTTGGGGCTTTTCTGGGGCTCGTCTAATGTGTACTCTTCTCTCCTCCGCCTGGCTCCTGCAGCTCTCAAGCTAGACTTGGAGGAAAAGCTGTTTGGGCAGCATCTGGCCTCCGAGGTGATTCTCAAGGCACTGACGGGCTTCAAGAACAACAAAAGCCCCAAGAAGCCACTGACTCTTTCCTTACACGGCTGGGCCGGCACCGGCAAGAATTTTGTCAGCCAAATTGTGGCCCAAAATCTTCACCCCAAAGGCCTGAAGAGTAACTTTGTCCACCTGTTCATACCGACGCTGCACTTCCCGCACGAGCACCAGATAAACCTGTACCAGGCAAGGGACCCCTGTTCCCTGGCCGTGGGGAGACCTGATTGCTAACTCCACCGCTTTTCTCTGCACCCCTTTCTGAGTTAAGGCACACTCACCCCTGGGAACACGTTGCAAAACTCCTACCACTTTTTTCTCACTTGATTCCAGAATTGTTTGGTCGGGTAGATGAAGTTCTGCTCAGCGAGAGGTGAGGTGACGTGTTCCTCACAGCATGTGACCTTGTAGCCGAGGCAAACTGGAACCCAGACACCGCCCTGCCCCCCGGTTCTCAGGGTAGCCAGCGCGGCCCCTGGTGTCAAAGGGGTCTCGACACGGCTTCCCTGGGGCTCCTGTTTCTGGCGCGACTCTGCCTTGCCTCTGCAGTGTAGACTCAGTAGCTGCGATCCCTTCGTCCCTCCCCAGCTTCAGAGCCCCAGCGCCGCTTGCGCTCTTCCAACGAAAGCCTTAAAGAACTGGCCCTGAGACAGTGTCTGTCCGCAGCGCGTCTCGTAGACCCTCCGCTCGGGTCCTCATTTAAATGAACTGGAGAAAGCTCATGTTCCAGCTGTTAGGTCAGGACTGAGAACAGAAACAGAAACTGAGCACAGAAGTGAAGTGGGCATTGCCACCCACATTGCAAGACAACTTGCCAAAGGGGAGGATAATTTCCCCATTTTCCAAACTCCTTCATGCAGCTCTAAGAGTACGCTTGGCGAGCTAGGGAAAGGCCGCCTGAGCGCACACCTGAAAAGACGTGCACGCTAGGGCCGCCAGGACACCGCGGGCTCGTGGCTGGGGGCTCGGGGGCTCTTTGCCTGGGTGTCTGGGTGTTTGTTTCGAGAAAGCACAGAACAGTGGCCTCCGTGAGTGCCGTCTCCGTGGGCCTCTCTGCCCGCCGCGCGGTCACCGGTGCCGGCCCCGGGCGCCATCTAGCTCACGCCTCTGGTGGAGTGTCGGCAGTTATCTGGTGCTCTCGGTCTGCTGTGAGGTGAAAGCCTGGGGTTGGCTAACAGGAGTGATAAATGTTCGCGTGGCGTCTCTCCTTAAAAGCCCTTTAGGACGTCGGTTGAGTCAGGAAGAAACCGTTTTCGCTCCCCCTCTGCTGGTTTCCTCTCCTTAGACCCGTGTTGGGGAAGCTGTTCTCCGGAAGGGTCACTCGTGGCTGGCCCGCTTAGAGCCCTGTTCCTCCTCCTCTTGGAGCACGAGGACCAGTGTGGTGCCTGTGCCCCCTCAGCGCGCCCCTTGAACCCCGGCCCCCGCTTTCTTCCTTTACGGCTGGTGCAGGACCAGTTGCAGACGTGGATCAAGGGCAATGTGAGCGCCTGCGCCAGCTCCGTGTTCATATTTGACGAGATGGACAAGCTGCACCCGGGGGTCATCGACGCCATCAAGCCGTTCCTCGACTACTACGAGCAGGTGGACGGCGTGTCTTACCGGAAGGCCATCTTCATCTTCCTCAGGTCAGCGGGGCCCCTTCTCTGGGAGACGGCCCCTCGCCCCGCCCCCGGGGCCGGAAGGTCTCGCTGACTGGCGCGGATGTGCCAGCCTGGCAACGGTGACTTGCCGGCAGCTTGCTGGCCTTGGCGTGGCACGGGTGTGGGCAGGGGACGTGAACGAGAGGGACGGCGGCGCCTGCTGGCAGCCAGCAGCGTTCTTAGCTGCACCGCTGCCCACGCGGCTGGCGAGCGCCTCGCGGTGCGCCGCAAGCTCTGAGGAAACATTTTCCGCGCCTTGGGCGGGGGAGACACTGTCCTGGGTGCGGGGGCAGTGCCCCTCCGCGGAGCATCGGCCTCACAGCAGGTGGCTTCCTGACAGCAGGCACGTCTTGAGGGGCAGTTTTATTCTTATCCCTTATTCTCAGCAATGCTGGGGGGGACCTCATCACCAAGGCAGCCCTCGACTGCTGGCGAGCAGGGAGGAAGAGGGAAGACCTTCAGCTGAAGGACCTGGAAGCCGTGCTTTCTATCGGCGTCTTCAATAACAAGCACAGTGAGTCCTCCGGGAGGAGCCCCCTGCCCCCACGGCCCCTGCAGGAGCAGCAGCTCACCTGCCGGGCTGCCACAAAGCCACACACGCCCTCCCGCCTCCGGGCTTTGGGGAAGCTGGCACTTTTTCTAGAAGCCACTTCTCAGAGGTAGCCCACCCTCCCTCACGTCAGGCTCGCCGCACACTTGACAGAGCATCTCGTGGGGGAGGCTGCGAAGAAGGCGCCATGGGTTGGTCTCCACAGGCCCTGGCACAGTGAGCTTGGCCAGGTGACGGCGACGGGCGCGGAACACAGCGGTGTCTTGTCTCCCAGGTGGCCTGTGGCGCAGTGGATTGATAGACAGAAACCTCATCGATTACTTTGTCCCCTTCCTGCCCCTGGAGTACAGACATGTGAAGATGTGTGTGAGGGCAGAGATGCGGGCCCGTGGCTCCGCCGTCGATGAAGACGTGGTCACCAGGGTGGCGGACGAAATGACGTTCTTCCCCAAGGATGAGAAGATCTACTCGGACAAGGGGTGCAAGACGGTGCAGTCGCGGCTGGACTTCCACTAGCCTCTCGTCCCGGGGCCGCGGCCTGGGGGCTGGGCACGCCGGGACCTGGGCTGTTTGCACGTTTGCACCTGTGCACTTTCTGGATGGGGGAGTTTCTTAGGGCTGGTTTTTGCTGAGCTGCTGGTCTGCAGGTGCTCTTGTCAGTTTGCCGCCTGACAGCCGTCTGTCTGTCCTTGGGCCTGAAGGCAACTTCTCAACCCCAGCGCTCGCTGTTCTGACCTCGCACGACGCCTGCAAGCCGCCATGGAGGGGACCTCCAGCGTGGAAGTCGGCCCCATGGCGCCCTGGCCTCAGCAGCTGCTGCTGGAACGAGGAGCTCAAGGCCCCGGCTGCACGGGGAGCCTCGGCTCCCGCCTGCCGAGACGCGCGGGCTTTGCCTTGCCGGCGGCCCATTCGTGCGCTCCGTTACATACGACAGGTACGGACGGCCTGGGGCCCTCGACCCCGGAGAACCGACGCACTCGGGTGGGGCTCTCAGGCCCTGCGCAGAACGGGCCACTTGGGGCCCCAGCCCGTGCCCCGGGGTGTGCGTCACGGCTGCCCCCGGCCCGCCGTCCTCAGGAGCGCTGAGGCTGTTGCTTCCAGTTTGGGCCTCGGTCCCCGGGGCGAGCTGTGTGTTCTGGTGCGTGCGAGGGCGCCTCCCTTCACTCCCTGGCGCTCCCGCCGGCCCCCGCCCGAGGGGCTGCTGCCAGACGCTGCCTTGCCAAAGGGAGGGAGGCCTGCCCGGAGCGCTCGCGTCTCCGCGGACGTGTGTGTTCTAGAATGTTTTTACTTCTGAGTTTTAAATAATAGAAATACAGGCTGTTGCTTATTTTAAGCCACCGGGACACTGGAATGGGGTAGTCTTCGCACAGATGAATGTTTCTTGTCCAGCGCGTGTGGCCGTCAGGGCCGTAGCTCTGGGTGGTGGCTGCGCCTGGGCGCCTCACAGCGGCGCTGCGTGGCAGCACCGGCCTGCCCCTGGGAGGGTCCTGCAGCTGGCTTGCGCCCAGAGGCCCCGGTCACGGCACCCCGCAGGTGTGACTGGGCCGCTCCCCGCGCCGTGCACCGAGCGTTTCTGCCTCCCCACACATCGAGCGCACGGCGGAGCAGTGTCCTCACAGGGGGCTGGGCTCCCCTGGCAAGGTGTGCCGCGGTGAAGCTGAGCGTCTTCCGTGCACGCTCTCACGTCGGAGCCAAACTACATTTTTTATAAGCTTCTGGGTGTCCAGCGAGGAGGAGACAAGCTTTTGTTTACAGTGAACCAAAGACCGGACACGTGTCGGCCACCTTTGGACCGTGGGTAGCGGCTGTGACGGGCCCGGGCTGACTGCGGCCGGCCTCCCCTGCCCTAGCGAGATGGAGATAAGATCTGAATCCACCGACAGAATGTAAAGTGCCATATGATAATGAGTAATAAAACTTGCATTTTATGTGAGCTGGCCCTCGCCTCTTGCCCCCACCCCACCCCGTTTTTTGGCGGCTGGGAAACAGCCAGGGGGAGGGCTCTCGGGTGCCACCGGGCTCACAGGCCCCGGTCGTGCCTCAGGCAGAAGCGGTGTTTACCCCGTAGGCGTCACCCGAAGAAATACGACTCAGCTCAGTGACGGGCTAGATGTCTTCAGGATTTGTCGATGGAGTGTCGAGCTGGGCTCCTTTCTGGCCAGTGGATTCCGAATGGATGTTGGAAGGACGCTGAGTTCTGGGGAGAAGACTCGCTGCTGGCGGCCGTGCTCAGCTGTGAGACCCAGTGCCGGGTCTCCCCGCCCAGGCCTGCAGCGACCCAGCCCTTGGCCCCTCTCTCCCCGGGAGCTGGCCACAGACCTGCCCCTTCGTGGACCAGGGTTGGCTGAACGAAAGGGAACCCCGTAGACCAGAGGTCGGCCTGTTCACGGAAGTGGCCTCTTATCTCAGAGCCCTGGCACTGACCCTCTCCCCAGACGAGATTAACCAGCCAGCTCACGCTCCAGCAGGTGCAGGCTGCCATCACCCCGCCACGCCTCTCCCTTCTCCGAGAGGCAGGTCACCAGGGCTACCCCTCACGTTCTTGCTCAGGCCGCTCCCCAGCCAGGTTTCTGCTCTCCCCACTCAGCCTTATCCACAAAGCCTGGGCTTGCGAATTCAGCCGGGGACCTGTGTGTGCCCACCTGAGGGAGCCAGGTGGGGACGGCTGGCCCCAGCCCGTAGCCCCTGGGGACTGGGCAGCAGGTAGCGCCACTGTCTGACATCTGGGCGGTGTCAGCAGGAGCCTCTGCCGGCCGGGGCCGGGCCGCTGGGCCCCGGAGCACCATTTGGGGGCCCACACTGCAGAGCCCTCTTGTGAGGTGTGCAGGCATGTGCCAGGACGGGTGCCCGCATCTCCCGCAGCGGCTGTCCCCTGCCACTGGAGCTCCATGGCTGGGTGCCCGGAGCCACGGAACCGGCAGGGTAGCTGGCGCGCAGCCAGCACTCCCAGGACACAGTGCCCTTAGCCCAGGTCACTCCGACAGGATGGTGCCTGCAAGGCCCTGGTTAAGCGCCTCCAGCGAGGGCACCTCAGACTTCACAAATCACCCACTTTACTGTCAGCTGGTAGCTGCCTGCACCCCTGCTCCCGCACCCCTGCTCCCGGGGAGGTGTAGGAGTGCTGATTAAATGTAGCAAAAATATAAGGGACTTCTGGCCTAGCCGCCAGCAACACGCAACCAGGGCGAGGTCTCCTGGACTCGGGGCCGCCACGCCCTGGGGGCCCCTCGGTCCAGGTGTTTGCTAACAGCGGTCCACAGCGCCACCAGGACGTTCCTGCAGTTTACCACGTCACTAGGGTGAGAGCCCCGGAGAGGCCGCGGCAGGCTCCGGGCTGTGCCGTGGCCTGTGGCCCACAGGGCGCTCCAGCCCGGGCGGGGAGGGCGCCCTCGGGACCCGCCTTCGCAGCAGACCTTTCACAGGAACTGAAGAAACACAAAGCCAACCACCCGAGAGCCTGAGAAGTTTCTCATATTAAAAACCATTTTAAATAAAGGCATTACATTTTTTTAGTAAAACTTATTTATCCTTCCTTGAAACAGAAATGTGAAATTAAAACATGATTTTTAAAAAATCATGAGCCCTCACACGAGGGGGCTAGGAGCTGGCTGCTCCCCCCGAGGTCTGGGGGCGCGGTGCGAGGAAGGCTGCTGCCCACAGGGCAAATCCAGTCACTCCTTGGGGCGCGGGGAGGTCGGGGCGGGTCTTGTCTCCTCGTGAGCGGCGGTTCAGTCGTCGTAGTAATAATCTAACTTGGTGAACACGGTTTTGCAGCCTTTGTCAGAGAAAATTCTCTCCTCTTTGGGGAAAAATGTCATCTCCTCGGCCACCCTGCTGACGATGTCCTCGTCGATCTCGTAGCCGCGGGCCTGCATCTCCACGCGGATGCACATCTTCAGGTGCTTGTACTCCAGGGGCAGGAAGGGGACGAAGTAGTCGATGAGGTTCCGGTCAATTAAGCTGCTGTGCCAGAAGCCACCTGGGACAAAGAAAAGGCCTTGGCCGCCGCCCGGGACCGGCACGCGCCACCCGTGCCGACTGCCAGCGGGACCGGGATCTGGGGAGGAGGGCAGGGAGGTGAGCGCCCCAGCAGAGACCGCTCCTGACCCAGGGCGGAGGGGAGGCCCAGATGCCAGTGTCTGAGGGGGGAAGAGGCGGGAAGAGGCCCCCACGGTGGGGCGGCAGCGTGAGGACCAAAGCTAGAACCCTCAGAGTGACAGACACACACTGTTAGGGCCAAAGGGCGTGAACTGTGCCCGTTCCGGGAGGCGGCTGGCGCCCCTCCCAGGGCCCCCTCTGGGGCCACCAGCACCCTGGGGGTGCTCCCTGGCAGCTCTTCACACAACTACTTTTCTCCAGCGCATTCTCCAGCGCGGGCCTCGGCTCAGGTGAGCTCCTTAAGCCCGGCCCGCCTACTCCCACCCCCAGGTGTCTCCAGCACGCCAGCAGCGCCCCGACATCAGCTGGGCGCCCTCCGTGTGCAGCCGGTTCTGACGCTCCCCGGGACAGCAGCAGACCCCAAGGGGGGAGTCCCCGAGACTGCCCCTTTCAGACACCAGCCACGCGTCCGGCGCTTCTGGTCCAGCCCGTCACTGGTGCTTCTGACCCAGCCGCTCCTGCAGGGGTGATATCTGCCATCCACTCACCAAATCCCCGGAACACGGCTCACTGGGTTACTGGTTTCTCAGGAAGGACGCCGGTCGGGACCAGGCAGAGGGTGAGTACAGGGGAGGGCCCAGCTCCCTCGCCCTCTCCAGCGACCACGCTCCCCGGGGTCCCACCCACCTGGGCTTCAGTGGGGGTCTCATCACGTCCACCCGGTGGTCTGATGCAGCCTGCGGTCTCTCCCCTGCCGGGAGGCTGACACTCCACTCAAGGGTGGGCTGCCCCCCCAGCGGGGTCAGCGGTCTCCCCACTCACACAAGCCCACGTGTGATTGAAGGGGTTTGTTATGAATGTCCAGCAGCTTTATGGCCCGACCACCGGACTTCTGGGAGTTTTAGGAGCCCTGTGCCGGGAAGGGGGCGAACCCCACAGTGCTATTCCCAGCCATGGTCTGAGTGCTGTTTATGCTTCTCTCCCCAGTGCTGACACACACCTGGTGCTCCTGAAGGACCTGCTCAAGGAGTGGCCACAGCTGAGCCGTCTGAGGCCCAGCCGGCCAGGCCCGTCCACTCTGAAGCTCGCCAGGCATCTGCCGTCGGCTCCCAGACATGGGCTCGAGGCGACGGTCTGGCCTGCATTTGGGCTGAGGGCTCTGGGCACGTGTTCGAATTTGAGGGGGTCGCAGATGACAGGGCTCTGGCCCTCCCCAGCAGCGTTCCAGCTACACCAACCTGACCAGGCTCGGCCCTCTCCCGAGTCTCCCTCAGAGGACAGCTTTTGTGAACCCGAGGACTTCTCAGGGACCCGCCCAGCCCACAGGTCTCACTGGTGAGTCACTCTGCCTCGGGTAGCTTCCAGCCTGGGGTTCAAGCTCAAAGGTGTGTTTGAGTTCAGAGGAAAGGCAGTGAGCTTGGGACCTACAAGGCTCTGGAGCAGGGGCACCTGGCCAGCTGTGTGGCCTCGGGCAAGGTGCTGTTCTCTCTGAGCCTGCTTCCTCAGCTCTAAGGGACAGCTTCTTCTCAGCTGGGCTGCGGGCGGCAGAGGAACCTACAGGCCGGTAGCCGAGGTCCCAGGGACAGAGCTAGGGCCCGGCCATCTTCTGGCCATTGCAGTCAATACCTGATTTTGGGGGTGCCCATAGAAAGAAAGGGGACCCACAGGGCACCTCCTCCTTTGGGGCTACCCAAAGGCACCAACCTGCTGCTTTTCTTCTAGAGAACAGTGATTTTGCTAAAGAAAACAGGCCCCTGATCTCCAAGACCCCAATAACCAACCAAGTTCCCCTTCCTGTAAAGAGCACTTCTCACACTGCACTTAACACAGCCCCCCCAGATTTCAGGCTCGGCTGGCCCAGGGCTGGCTGAGACTCTGCGTCTCTTAACTGGCACCGGGACACGGCGATGTCGGGCACGTGTGCGCCCCAGTCTCAACAGGAAGGGCAGCAGCCTGGCGGGCACCCCCGGCGAGGCGACCCCGAGGTCTCGGCCGCCGGCTGGCAGCACGACAGCAAGCAGCCCCCGCCGGTCTCACGCGGGCGCTGCGAGCGGCTGAGGGGAAGCGGCGGGCGGGGCCACTCACTGTTCTTGTTGTTGAAGACCGACACGGACAAGGCGTGCTCCATGTCCTTGAGCTTGATTTCCTCCCTCTGCTTTCCCCTTCTCCAGAAGTCTAAGGCCACGTCTGTGATCCTTTCTGCTCCCGCATTGCTGCGAAACAACTGCAGTGAGGCAGGGCGGGGCTCCCCGGCCTGCGCCCCCGCAGCGCCGGCCGCCTCACCTGAGGAAGATGAAGATGGCTTTCTGGTAGGAGATGCGGTCCACCAGCTCGTAGTAGTCGAGGAACGGCTTGATGGCGTCGATGAGGCCGGCGTGCATCTTGTCCATCTCGTCGAATATGAAGATGGACCTGGCGCAGGCGCTCACGTTGCCGCGAATCCACAGCTGTAGCTGGTCCTGGGTTAGCGAGAGGCCGACACGAGCCCTCAGCGGGGGCGGGCAGGCCCGGCCCGCGCTCCTGCCCACGGCGACCGCGGCTGCAGGCGGGGGCCCGGCAGCGCGGCTGTGCCTACCGCCCTCGTGGCCGCGGGTGCTGCCACACCCACCTCACAGCAGAGGCCACTGAGGCCACTTACAGACTTACACATTACCAGATGAGTGTGTAGCGGAGCTGCGGTCGGAAGCCCCCTGCCTGACTCCAAGGCCGGGCCGCACTCTGGGTGCGGTTCCTGGCCGGTTGATTCACCCGAGGCGGGGCCTGGGGTCGCTGGGCCTGTGTCATTAGTGACCCCACGAGGGAGCGGAAGCTGAGCTCACACTCACGGCCGCTTGTGATGAGCAGCACGTGGTAACACGCCTGTGGGCCTGTGCCTGGGCTCTCTGAGGCCCCCTGCCTCGACAGACACGCGGAGGGAACTCGTCCTCAGGCCGGAGGAACTCTGTGCCACCCAGGTAGGACTGGCCCCTTAATCAGAGCCACCCCTTTGGCTCCAGGAGATGTCTTTCAAACTTACTCCCCCACTTCCAACCTGTTAAGGGAGGAGAACTCTAGGAGTTACAATGTAGGCCTTGAGCTCTTCTGCTTTAGTTTCTGCCTGGCTGCTCTGACCCAGGTTACAATGTTCCAAGCGTTTGTATCTAATCTAAGCTGTCATTCTGCCTGGAGGTGTGGGCTCCTCTGTGGTCAGAGAAGGAGCCTCAGGGGGCCCTGGGGTCCCCCAGAGCCAGCCACTGTTTAAACAAGGATGCTCTGGGAGCTGCCCGGTTCCCACCACCGAAGTTTTCCCATTCTGCTACCGCAGAGTCCAGGCGGAACAGAGAGGACCTGCTGAGCGCACTGGGGCAGGCCCAGGCTGAGCACTGGTCACACCTGAGTGGACTTCCCTGGGGACATCAGGGCGGCGATCAGAGCCTGCCGTGCGGGGGGCCTGGAGACACACGGGCTACGTGATGGGCCCGGTGTCACACAGCTATGAAGAGGGAGCTCGGATGCTAACTAGGGTGACCGACTCAGTGTGTTGGAACTTTCTCGGTTTTAGCACCAAAGCCCCTCCCAACCTGACTTCTGATGACCCTGGCAGGCACCAAGCAGAAGGGGAAACGCGTCCGCACTGTGAGGCTCGGTGTCTGCCTTTCTGCCAGCTTGCAGGCTAGTGAGATTTAGGAGGCAATCGTTGGCCTTTATCGCCCGCCCATGAGCCCGCACACGCCCGACTTGACAGACATGGCCCTTGAGTCTCAGAACCTGAGTCCCAGAGGGGTCAGGCGACTTCCCCAAGGCCACACAGCTGGGAAGTGGTCCTGCGCCCCCAAAGCCCAGGTGGAGAATCAGCGGGCTAATGTGAAGTTGTGGCTCAGGCCAAGACGGGCCTCTCTGGAAATGCGTCCTCTTGGACAAGCTGCACTGGCACTGCCCGTGTCCACCTGGGTCCCTGTGGCCCCGCTCGCTGACTCTCCCCCTGAGCCTGTTTCAGAAACCACCACAAGCCTCTGCGAATGTCACTGCTTCTGGCCTCACAGCAGGGTGCCTTCCACACCTTTCTGAGGGGGACCAGACCCCAGGAGCCATTTTCAGGGCTCCTGCATTTCCACGTGGCCTTCCCAAGTCCCACAGCACCGCAAAGGAAGCCCAGCAGGGATGCCCAAACTCTGCCCTTGCCTTATACAGGGTGACGTTGGAGGCGTGCGGGAAGTGCAGCGTGGCCACAAACAGGTGGACGAAGTCACTGTTCAGGCCCCCCTCATAAATATTTTCTGCGATGATCTTGCTGACAAAATTTTTGCCGGTGCCCGTCCACCCGTGCAGGGAGAGGGTGAGGGGTTTCTTGGGCTTCGGGTTGCTGATGAAGCCAGACACGGCATTTAAGATGACTTTCTTGGCAAGGTGCTGGCCAAAGAGCTTGCTGTCCAGATCCTTCTGCAGCGCTGGGAGAAATAACAAAACCTGTCAGGCGGGGGTAGGGGTGAGGGTCACGCCCGCCAACAGGGCGCCAGGTTTACAGGCCAGAGTGAAGGCAGCCGAGCTGTGGGCGTAGCGGGGACGAGTCTGCGGAGGGTCGCGGGTGGGGCACTGGGCCGGCCGCAGGCGGGGCTCGGCAGCCCCCGAAGGGCGTCGCGCCCCAAACCGGGCTCCATCCGGCGGCCCAGGTGCCGCGGCCAGCTCCTGCACCCCGGGCTTCGGCGTGAATCGCCTGCCTCCCGGGCCTCCGACCTAGGTCCGCCGCTCGGGGTCGGGATCCAGCCCCGCGGGCTCCGGCTCCCCAGCCCGGCCCCCGCCCCGTCCTACCCTCCCGGCTGAGGCTCCGCTTCTGGCTGCAGCACTCGGCGAAGAGGCAGTAGAGGCGCGGATAGGAGATGTAGCCGGTGAGGACTCCAGCCAGGGCCAGCCCCAAGCTGATGGGCTCCACCGCCCGCACCGCCAACGGCGCCAGCAGCAGCAGGCCCAGCGCCGCCCGGCCCAGCTTCATGCCCGGAGCCGCGCCGCCCAGCGCCTGCTCGCGCTGCCCGCCGGCCACAGACGCCAGCTGCACTTCCGCTTCCTCCCCCCGCGGCCGCCATGCTTGAGCCGGGAGCCGCCTCCCGAGGCCGGGAGCCACCATCTTTGTGAAAGGCAGAGCCCTTCCGGGTCAGTTTCCCGGGAAAGCCCGGGGCGCCGACGTTAGTGCGTTGCGTCTATTGAAATTAACGAACCCGTATAGGCAGCCCTATAAACTGGAGTTTATTCCGCTTGCCTTGGTTTTTAACCTTCTCAGGAGGCAGGATCCCATCCAAGACACCAGTTATATTTGTTGTTAGGGCTCCGTATGCTCCTCGCTGTGTGAGCTTGGCAAGCTTTGCTCGCTTTTCATAACCGTGACAGTTTGGGGGGGGGGGCACTGGGCAAACCCTCTCTCAGCTGCCCCACTATTGGAATTTGATGCTTTCCTCAAGACTGCACTGTGGCTTTGGGTTTGGGGGAGGAGCAGAGGTACAGTGCCATTTTTTATAGCCCATTGAGGGGACAGAAGATGCGGTTTATGGCCGCTGGGGTTGACCTTCATCGGCTGGAGAAACCTCGGGTTTCTCCACTTAATCCCACTGGCCAGCCCGCCTGTGTGAAAGGTCATGAACAGGGCCGCCCTCTGGCGCAGTGGGTTGAAGAGCAGCACTATGAAGCTGTTCACAGCCACTGCAACGCAAGTTTGATCCCCGGCCAGGGAGTGACCCACATGGCGCAGCAGAATTCTCCTGTCTCCTGCTCCCCTCAGCAGTGGATTTCAGTGGATTTGCCAGTTCTGTTCCCCATTCTGTCTCTGGGGAGTCCTCTCACCCCCACCCCCCTCTGTCTGTACCCCAGTTCTGTATGCATGCATCATTTAAAAAAAAAAAAAAAGGCATGAAGAGAACACACCCAGGGACTAGGAATTGAGGCACCAGCCTTGAGTTTAGAATAGCTACACACATCACTGGGGGGTATTCATCTGGACAGGAAATTAGTCTTTTCTCCCCCGTTTTGTTTAATGTATCCATCCTGTTTATAACAGTATGGATCCCTGGATATTTGACTACACTGTGGGTTGCCTTCCATACTGCTTTATTTTGTTGCCTAATCTGTTCCTCCTCTGCTTACTGGGCCGTCAGTTGGCTCCTCTGCTCCTCTAACTGAACACCCCACCAAGAGTGCATTTTGTTGACATAGGTCCTTTGACACATCCCCACCAAGTGGTTTTGGTTGGTTTTTTGGTATTTCCTTACTTTCCAGCACTCCACAATACTCCAGGTTCATCATAAATATTTCCCGCCCAATTTCTGGAGTCAGTAATTTCTTCAGTGGACCGGGCCCATTCTATGGGATATTAGAGCTGGGTGTGTTCCGTGTGGAGACCAACCCATGTAGATATACATATTCATAAGGATTTCTAATCATAACCACCGCTATCTCTGTGAAGCATGAATTCTCACTGATGTCTGCCCTCTTAGCAGGTCACTGTGCCTTCTCCCCAGGTTTCTCTAGAAATTCCCACTCCAACAATAAGTGAGCTGGCTCCCACCAGCTGGTGGCCACTATTATTTACTATTATTTTTATAAAAATTAATTGTAATTATTTACACATACAAGAGCTGGGGTGTAGGCCAGAGGTGTGGAGGCAAAAGGGTGAGAGGACTCACTGATGACAGAGTGGGGAGCAAAGTAGGCAGATCTACTGGAACTGCTGAGGAGAGCAGCGGGGAGACAGGAGAGGTCTGCTGCACCCTGTGGGTCACTCCCTGGCCGGGGGTGGAACTTGCGCTACAGTGGCTGGCAATAAAGCACCAAGATCTTAAACCTGGGGCACCAGGGAGGCCGTGGTGGCCACTTTTATACCCTCTCCCCATCAATGGAACTCTGGCAAGCAGCAAATACAACAAACACAGTGCCACTTGCTCGTGCACCTGTCGCCTGGTGCTGAGTGCTGTGCCCGGCCAGGCGCTGGGCCCCAGCATTCACTGGCTGCCTGCGCATTGCGGGCAGCTGAGAGATGCCTGTGGAAACACTTTCCAGCTTCAAGTTTTGCATCCAAAAATAACAGTACTGAATGCCTGTCTTAAGTCAAATACTACTGCAGATCGCCTCTGCAGTATCCTCACAGAGCTGGAGGTAGGGGTTACCCACTGTCCACTTATTTTCATGGCCTGCCACGTGTTTGGTAAAGGACTAAACCTGGGGATTCCAAAGAAAACGGGCCACACCTAATCTGTGCCGTAAGCGCCTCTGCGTTCTCGTGGGGGTGTCACACTTACAGAAGGCAGAGGGGGGCTCTGCCCGAGGCTGAGCAGCGGACCGTGAGCGGGTCTGCATCTGACTCCAGCGCCCACCCGAGCTTCAACACCTTCTTCGCTCACCTGCTGACTCCTCATCCCAACACACAAGCGCCTCGGGAAAAACAGCAGCACGCGTGGCACTACCCGACAGCTGGCCGGCGCTCAGCAACTCGGCGCTGCCCAGCCGGGCTCTGCACCGCAGACCACCCGCGCGGCGTAAAGACACGCGGCACACACAGGCGGCTGGAGTCATTTCGTGTTTAATTAAGTGAAGTTGCTTTTCTTCCTTGATGAAAAGAAACGGGTAGCTCTGCGAGAGGCAGGAGACACTCGTGTCCCTGCTCCCAGCCTGGACGCTCCCGCCTCCGGCGGCCCCGCCGCACACAGCGAAGGTCGCGTCCCGGACGCCACGGCGGGCTCTGCAGGGTCGAGCGCACGGCTGCGTGTGTACTCACAGGGCGCACTCTGAGGGCCTCTCTCACCCCGGACACGGCTGTTTCCTCCTGACCCGGAGCAGATATTGAGAGGCAGCGTACTTACAGACAAGGTTTAATAAGGCTCACAAGAACAGACTTTACCTCCGAATAGGACAACGACACACTGCTTTGTTTCAGCAGGTTACAATTCAGTGCCTGAAAGAATCCAGCGGGTAAGCGGCAGGACTAGTCTGGCTGTGGCAACCTCTGCTAGCGAGCGAGCTGGCTTCAGTCCAGGAAGCCTCATGGCGCGTGGGGGGGCGCTCTTCACATCCCTCTGGCACTGGTCCCCTTGGCCCTCCCTCCCGCCAGCCCCTCTCAGTACCGCCTGTTCATCTTCTTGAACTTCTCATAGTGGTAGTCATCAGTGGCCTTCTCGTTAGCAGGACGCTTGCGGTTAGGCGGGGACCCTGGGAAGGGAAGGAGCAATGCTGTTGGCCCTGCTGACGGTCACCGACGGGCCAGCCTCTCCCCCACGGCCTTGCCACTGAATGCATGGAAATAAATATGGGGCAGAGGGAGGTGCCAGTGAGAACCGCTGACCCTGAGCACCAGTCCAGGCCAACAGCAGGTCCCCTGAGCTTGGCCATGTACCAGGCACAGCACTGAGCCCACCGAGCTGTGGCTTCCTCTAAGCCGCCAGTGAGCCCGGAAGGGCCATGTTACCAGCCCTGCTGAGGCCAGGGGACAGGCTCAAGGTCATCCGGAAAGCAAAGGAAGGTGCCCAGCTGCGCCCTTGCCCTTGCTTTGCTGTGTATTAATAACCTGAACCTCTTCAGGAATCACACCACACAGCCAAGGTACTGCAGAAAATAATCTGCAAGGAAGAAGGAAGACACAGCACCTGCTTGAACTTCTAGAAACCTCAGCAAATTTAGCATGTTCTGAGACTCATCCCACTGCTGATGGAAAAGATGACGCCCCCGGGGCCGCTGGGCATGTGGGGCAGGGGCCCGCGCGGAGGGACGGTCTGCCGACGGCGTCTCTCTGGCCGCTGGGCAGGACACCCGTCTTCACCGGCAGGGCCGGGCAGGGCACCGAGTGAGAAGCAGCCTGAGCCTGGACACAGCCCGGCAGCGCACGTGCGTGAGCTCTACAGGAAGCCTGGCAGGTCGCACGCGAAGCACTGAGGTCGTCTGGGGGGCACAAGGGGCTCTCCGGTTCCTGCCGCTCAGTGGCATCTCCCGAGGTTTTGGTCCCCGTAGCCCGGGGTCCTCAGTGCACCCCAGGCGGGGGCGACTACGATCCCCCCTTGCCGCTGCGAGGGGAGACCCGGCCAGGCCCGAGGCCCAGGACACTCACGCTCAGGCTCCGGCCTCTCCGTGTCTCCCACTCTCAAGGGCCGGGCTTTGGGCTCTTCTTTGTTTCTCCGGATGGGGGCATTGAGCTCCTCGTGATAAACTGGACCGAGACAGGAGGGAAGACACGTCAGACGTCGGGGGGAGCCGGAGGGGTTGGGGGGGGCCGGGGCAGCGCGAGCAGCTCACATCGGTTGTGCTGCACGTAATTCACCGCCATGTTGGTGGGCACAAAGGACGTCTCGCTGTCTTTCTTCTTATTCTGCTGCTCGGCCAGCAGGCGGGCCTTGGCGTCCTCCGTGGAGATGATATTTTTTATTTTCGCGCTACGGGAGAAAGGCCCCCGTGTCAAAGGGCTCCGCCGTGTCCTCAGATCGCGCCATATGGCGAGGCTGCGGCCGCCGCTGTGTGAAGCCCTTGTGTCACTGGGGGCCCCCGCTCCAGCTTACTGAGCTCCCCACGGTCAGGGCCATCAGAATGCAGGAGCTACTCTCCCCCTGGACCTCAGAACAGTAAAGCCACCGCCTCAAGCCCCAAACCAGTCAGACCAGAAAAGCAAGGGGCCCAGAACCCTGGCTGTCTACTCAGCGGTGACCTGCCTCCAAGCTTCCCCCTTTAGAGCAAAGGTTTTGCAGTGAAAATGAAGGGGGCGAAGGGGGAAGGGTGAGCCTTCCGCCGCTCTGCCGGGGAGAGCAGAGTGTGAGTGTGGACAGTCTGCCACAGGAGCCTCGAGCTCCAGCGGCCTGACATGACATCTCTGGCCAAGCCCTGCCAGAAACCCCAGGCCACTGTCCCAGCCCGCCAGAGGTGGCGCCATATCCTCGGGTTTCCGAGGAGGCAGGTAAGCTGCCCCTTTGCGGCTGCCCTGCCCAGGGCCCCAGAGGCGCGGCGAAGGCCTAGGCAACGCACTCGATGCCCAGGTCCACCTCGGGGATGCCGCTCAGCATCTGGTTGGAGAGCATCTCCTCCGTCTTCTTGGCCGAGGAGACGCGGATGTTTTCCGGAAGTTCGTAAAGGCAGTCCTCGGCGTTCTTGGGCTTGACTTTCTGCTCCTCATGGTCCACGATCCCCTTCCTCTTCTTCAGCTCTGTCTCAATGTACTTCATCCTGTAGGGAGACACCCACAGGCCCCAGGAGGGCAGGCTGTGAGCCCGGGGCCCGCGCTGGCCCAGAGAGTGGCGGCACTAGCTGGTCGAGAGATGAACAAGACAAAGAACTTCTGAGTCTGTTTCGTGAAGCTGAACATTCCCAACTGAAAGGCCCGGCCTTTACGCGGGTGACCCTGTCAGTCACCGGCAGCGTCTGGAGACAGACAGCGGCAGACGGGGCTGGACTGAGTTCAGTGCTCCTGCCTCTGGGCGCTCCCCGAGTCAGAACTAAGGCCCTAGGAACCACCTTTTAAGGAACTTTTTCAACACGCTCAAACCCAGGCGGTACGGCAAGAGGGCTGATTTGGACATCTCTGGATAGTTCTAGAAATGCCTTCTGCAACTAAATATTTTGGACTCCCGCCGGCTGGAGCCCACCCCCAGCTGGCCGCAGCCACAGAGGCCACCACCTACATGTCGGCATCCTCATCCCTTCGGTTCGTCTCTGCGGAAAAGGAAGTCCCCAGGTGGAGGTCCTCTTCCTCGCTGATCCTGGACGGGGAAAGCGGTGGGGTCACAGCGGGGTGAGGCCAGGCCATCGAAACAAGGGGACACATCACTCAGAGTCGGGAAAACACACACACACGTGCACACAGTGGAAGAAACTGAAAGTACATGCGAGCTGTGTCCTCGAGCTACTTCCGGGAGGCGAGCAGGGATTTTCGCCTTTTTACTTTTCTTTCATTAGAGTGTATTATCTTTGTGACTGGATTTTTACGTGCACGTGAGCTTGACAGACAATAAACAATGCACCTCTATTTAAGGAGCCCCCCCCCCCACGTCCTGTCAGCTAACACCTGAACAGACTCTGCTTTCTCTGGCTCTCCAGTGACAAGCTCTTCACAAAGCACGAGGCATGGGAGCTTGGTGGTGCCATAGCCGCGGCCGCAGGCCCAGCGCACTGAGCTCACAGCCAGCTGGGGGCTGCCGCGGGCTAACATCTCCCTGCTGCCTGCACTTACTTATCTTTGCCCCTTTCCTTCAGTTTCTTCATGTCCACCATCCCGCCGGTCTTCATCTGGAAGGGGTCATCCTGCAGAAAGCAAACACAGCTGAGAGGAAGCAGCTGCGGAAATGGCAGCAGAATTGGCAGCAGAATTCTCTCGTTTTTTTCCTAGAAAATGCAATCAGCCACGGAAGGCAGGCACATGCCCCCCCGGCACGTGGCAGACCCACACTCACCACTAGCGTGGTCTCCTCCTGGACCTTCTCTCCCACCAGCAGGGCCACGGCGCTGAGCAAACCCAAAAAGGGGCAGAGAGAGAAATGGCACAAGTCAGAGATGCAGGACAGTGAGGAAGCTTGCAGGTCGCAGCGCACGGCAGAGCGACACTCGGGGGTGGGTGCAAGTGAGCTGGAAAGGCCCACAGGAATAGAAGCGGGCTCAAAACACTTGGGGCCTGGGGGCGGGGGTGAAGTAAGCGCAGCACCTTTCTAGGAAGCCACGCGGCTCCATTTCGGCTTAGAGACCTCATTTCCTTGGGGAAAATGAAACAAAAGACAAACGCAGGCAAACACTCTGGCAGCCTCATCTGATGGGGAAATTTATGAAATGAGCAAACCGTGAGACCGCGTGGCTCAGGGGAGATCCTGGCTAACACGTGTAAGGTGCATCTGCCCCTCTCTAGGCAGTGGGCAGCAGCCAGAAGGTCAGGAGCTAGGTTTGAGGATTCTTTGTGATAGCAATCCAGTGAGGTCATGTCTCTGTCATTCTTCTCCTCCTCCTCCAGACACCACTCCCATGGGCCCCCTCACCCCACCCTCATGCCCCCTACCCACCTCACCCCATTGGGTCTCTTCCGTAAGTTCTGCACCTCTCGGGTCTCTTCCAGTTTTAATCTGAAAAACAGGCAGTGCACAGGCTGAGACTCTAGGAACTCTGAATTGAAGGCCACTTCTGTAAGCGAGCCCACTGCCTGCCCACTGGTCCACTGGGAGTCAGACCCACTCTGCATCCGGGAACACCACTCCTAACTGCATGGCCTGGGGGCAGCTTAGAATTTCTTCATCGGAAGAAGTAACAGCACCTGCCCACAGCTAGTATGGTGTCCATGAGGCGCCAGGACATTAACACCAACTTGCTGAGATTTCAGTTCCATGTCTTAAAGGCTCAATTTAGATAAAAGTGGTTTGCAGTATGAACTTAACTTACTTTCATGTAATTAAAAAAAATATTTTATTTATTCATACAAGAACTGGGGTGTAGGCCAGAAGTGCCCAGGGTGGGGCAGGCTGGTGGTGAGTGGACTCACCAGAGACAGAGTCGGGGGCAGAACAAGCAGATCCACTGAAATACAAGGCTGAGGGGAGCAGCGGGCGAGACAGGAGAGGTCTGCTGCGCCCTGTGTTCAGCTCCCTGGCTGGGACCAAACTCAGGTGGCAGTGGCTGGCAACAGTTTGATACCGCCGAGAATTTAACACCCGTGCCACCAAGGGGCCCTCATATGTAATGTTTTAAAGCTGTGCAGGATGGTGCCAGTTAAACTGCTTACTGCCGAATGGCTGACTGTAGGAACACAGAAGTGTCCTTCACCTGATGAATTTTTTCACTTGTGAAGTACCATGAACTTGTGAAAATTTAGTGAGAGTGTTTGGGAAAGTCAACTCTTCAAAGACTGTTGAGATGCTTGCCTGGCCCTGCCAGCAGTGGTGCTAAGCCATACAGCAACCTGTGAAAACCTCGAGACAGGGCTCCAGCTCCATCAGGCACTCCTGCAGACAGTGGTGCTTAGACGGTGCATGGATCTCAGGAAAAGGGATATCTGTTTCCTGCCCAGCAGAGCTACTCCTCCAAGGCACAGCCCCTGTATCAACCTTTCCACCCGCCTTGGCCGCCAACATCAGGACGCCTTAGCTCTCGCAAGGAAGAGACTGACTTTGCAACAGCACTGGCCGTCAGTTCCTGGTTGGCTACGCCCAATCTTCCCTCTCTAAAAAGGTGCATTTCAGCTACATAAGGACTTTTTTTCTTTCCTCTCTCCTCTGCCTGAACAGCAGAGTAAATCATCTACACTCGGCGTGGAGGATGTTCCTGCAGTCTCCTGTCCACCACTGACCTGTAAAACCTTGTTATAATAACTTACACAGCCCACAGTGAGCCTGTGCTAACGAAAATATCGGCATAAACAATGTCACTCTCTGAGCAATAATTTTTGCTTCCCTTGCACACAAAATAGTGCCCCAAACTGGCTTCTCTATTCCTGTGCCATGGAAGCTTCGCTCTAAACTTACCGAACCTCCTCTGAATCTTGCTCATCCTCCTCTGATTCTGAGTCTGCCCGGCGCCGGCGAAAAGTCTTCCCGGTGACCGGCATAGCGGAGAGCCGCTCCCGCAGTCCACCCGCGCCGTCGCGCCCGTGAACTCTGGTGCTTCCGGCGCGCACTGCTGTCGTCAGAGCGTCGGTCCCACCCTGCCCCGCCCCTCGCGAGCCTGGCCCCGCCCCTCCGGCCCGGCGCGCCTGGCTGCGCCGGGATCCGTGGCGTCGGCCGCTTCCGATTGGATGGTCGAGGGGGAGGAGGCGGGGCGCGGCCGGCCAGGCCCACGACCCTGCGCCGCGCCGCAGAGGGCGCGTTTGAATGACAGGCGGCGGCGGCGCTGTTGCGACGGCAGGTGAGTTCCGGGCCGCCGCAGGCTGCTTCAGGGGGCCTGGCCGCTCGGAGCCAAAGCGCCAGCTCTGCTTCAGGCCAACGGGGCCCTGGCCCTGCCGGGTGCGCAGGACTCCGCGGCCAGGTGAGCGGGACCCGGGACCCCCCGGTCGCTGCCGCCGCCCAGGGGGTTCTCCGAGGGCCCCGGCGCCCTACTGGGAGCCCCCGGGGCTCGGCCCTTCTCGGGCACTGGGTCCGTCATCTCTCCCTCTGCCCGAGCCGCTGAAAGCCCGCCGGTGGTGTCTCGGGGTCTGGGCCCTGGCGTGCGTCTTTTCCCTCTGGGGACAAAAGAGGACCCCTTCTTGGGGGTGTTAAATGAACGTCCCGGCGCCACGGCCCCGCCCATCGCGGTCTCGCCACTTGTCTGCGAGGGGGGCGCCCTGGGGTTCTCAGCCTCTCGGAGGCCTCGCGGGCAGAGGGCTCCTCCTCGGTGACCCCACCGCGGGCCTTGCTTGCAGCCTGTCAGGACTGTTATCCTGTCCTGCGCCCCTTCCATCCCGACGCTGCTGTGAGGTTTCAGATGGTAGAGAAATGGGGGCCCAGAAACGCTTGGGAAATAACCCAGAGCATAAAGAATGGCGTTCGGGACTTGGAGGACCCCTAAATAAGAGCTTTCCTTGTGATGGCACAGGCCAGGCCGTTCCTGGGGAGGGCTCCCCCTTGCAGACATAGGTGGTGGGCACTGAGTTAGCTGGGCATTATCCCCACCACCCAGCAAGCCTGCGCAGCAGGTCAGTTACTGCTCATTTGTAAGTGCAGGTCCACAGGTCTGGAGGCCCAGCGGCCAGCGGGCCTCAGGTTGCCCTGCTGGAGGGTGGGGCGGGGTGCTGCAGTTTGACAGTGCCTGGTCAGTAGGACTTTGCAAGTATTTGCTGCAGCCACTGCTGCAGCTACCTTGCCTGGGGAGGGGCTGAAGGCCGCTTTTCCTGGTTCCCTTGCTGGAAGACCCTTTTGAAGCAGGCAGCTTTTCTGGGGTGCCCTTTTTCCTCTGGAACTGCCCCTTCAGAGATTGTTCTCTCCCTTGGACTGAGACAAACAGTGTACGCAGCCTTCTTGGGACAGCCCTTTGGCTGACAGCAGTCCAGGTCAGCCAGATCCAGGTGCATATGGGAGTCTCTGGACGTGGCCGTTGAAGGAGAGGCCCCTTGGGAGTCACAGTGGAAGCCTAGGGCGTCTGCGACTGCAGGGCAGCACTCGGGTGACTCGATTCTGCCCTCCCTCCGGGGCGACTGGAAGTGCTGAGGGGAGGCCAGGAGGCCAGACCTCTCTGATCCCCTTTTCTTGACTGGAGTGCAGGGAGGAGCCTCTGGGGCAAATGAGCTGTCCCCACCGTGCCCGGTGGTGCCACCTGGTCTCTGGCAGATGGAACTGAGACTTGTTTAGCAAAGTGCTGCTGAAAAAGCGGTGGCTGTGAATGTGGCAGCAGGAACCTGGGCAGAGGGACTGCAGACCCCCGAAGTCTTGCTGGGCTGTCTCAGGTGGGGGGACGAAGCTGCTTCTCAGGGCGCCTTCAGGAACTGTGGGCTCTCTAGAAATGAGCCTGAGGCTTCGATTTTGTTTGAGAATTTCATTGTTGAAGCAAATATCTGCACTTGGCTTGAGTTGGTTTATTAGCTCCTTTCTGAACCCAGGTGAAATGTCGGCTTGTTTCAGGGTTCATGAGCGTTAGTGTCTGGTACATCTGAGCTCCAGCTAAGTGATCGCATTTCACAGCCTGGCCGGAGTAAGTATTCAGTGAATATCTGAGGGATTCATTTACTTATTCAGTAAATAGTGACAGCTTTTACTATATGGAACAGGCGTCGTTCTAGATGCTTGAAGTCTGAGCAGACGGGACGGGAGATCCCTGATCTAGTGCTCTGCATTCTTGTAACGTGGCCCTTCAAGCCTGTCCAAGGCCATGGATGCGCTAGAAACAGGAAACAGGGGGCCGGGGGAGGGAGGGCCAAGCTCCACATTTAGGTCGCTGTATCCTGGTGTGGTACGGTCTATGACTCGACAAACGCGGCAGTGGACCGAGTTCCAGGCCCTGGGGCCAGTCCCAGCCTGGCAGCTTGCCTGTGACGGCCGAGCTGTCTTTCCCCGCTGGTGCCCCGCGGGTCCGGCCGGTCTTCGCAGCTGTGTGATAGTTGCCACGAGCCTCTCACACCCTCACATGCTTTGTGGGGTGGGGTCTTAGTCCACATTCTGCTTATAAATCAGGGTTTGCAGCTTCCGTGACCTGTCCAGTGTCTGCTGGCAGCCTTCTAACCCCCCGGGGCTGCCGGCCTGTGTGCCCTCCAGATAATTGGCTTACGGGGCCCAAAGCAGAGTGCAGTGCCAGGTTTGGGGCTCTCCAGCCCTGTTACTCTCGACTTTAGGAATTTAAGTTGAGCAGACAGAGGCACTGTGAAGAATGACTCAGAAGAGGCTCGTGTGAGGGAGGCCACAGGTCTGGGAGGGCTTCCCCTCGGAGTGTGAGGCTGTGCAGTCATGCCAGCGAGCTGGAGTTTTGGGGAGGTTGTAGAAATGACTGTTCAGCCCCCTGATGAGGAGCAGGCGGTCCTGGGCTTGAAGCTGGCCTAGTGGCTGTGCGGCCCCATTCACCTCTGAGTCCCTCCACCTTCATGGTGGCAGTGGAGGTGGACCTTGCTCGCCACCCCACCCTTAGGGCGGGGGTTCATATCAGTACCAGTGCAGGGCCTTTGGGGGCAGGAGGAGGCCTGAGGGCTCTGCTGTGAGAGCAGAGTAGGGAATGGAGTCTGGCCTCAAGGAGGGGCGATTCCTTGTTTGGGGAAAACAGTAGTTTGGAAATAGAATGGGGCGGGGGTAGGGGTGGGCACCAGGCTGAGGGGCTGGGATGGCTAATGTCAGGAGCAGAGCAGGGGGTGTCCCTGTGTGTGGGGTGGCTTGGCGGCATCACTGTCTGAGGAACTTGGCTCTTGGCCGGGAGTAGGATGTAGCCAGAACCTTCAGAAAAATGATGAGTAATGGGCACCTGAGGCCTGGGCTCAGCAGCTGGTGCCAGGCCCGGCGGGGGAGGAGCACTTATCCCCTCATTAGCTGCAGGCACAGGGGAGAGAAAAGTGCCTGCCTGCAGTCAAGATGAAGCCTCTTGAACAAACTTCCGGGGCCTGGGAGCCGTGGGCTCTCTGCCAGACCTACCCCAGCCTGTCTCCTTCCCTCTTGCTTTCTTGTTCCCAAGAGAGACTGGGTCAGGAGGGAGAAGTGCCCCGGGGTGGCCAGGGTGGGGCACAGCCTCACGGCCTGGCGTCCAGGCACTGACTGGAGTGGGCACCTCACTGACCCCCAACACAGCAGACGGGCGGCCTGGAGCTGGTGTCTCAGCCACAGGCTTTCCCTCTGAGCCATTATTAAATGCTGCTGTGCACACGCCATGTGTTGGGAGAAGACAAAGGGTCAGACCTAACCTGCTCACCCCAGTGCTGCCCCTTCCTGACCCCAAGGCCGGGGATGTGGCTGCCCAGCCTCCGCTCCCCCATGCAGTGAGCAGCCTCGGGTCTCCTGAGAGGGGGAGAAGCGCCTGGCCTTGTGCCTGCCTGAGGTAGGCACTGGGCTCCAGCGCTGCTCTGTTGGGTTTGGGTTACCTTTTCCAGAAACCCGCCCTGCTCCCTGCTCCTAACTCAAGCCAGAGGAAGGGGATCTTTAAAAAGCTTCCATTTGTGGGGGGAAGGATAGGAAAAGTTACAAGAATAATAGTGAATTCCCATCTAGGCCCTTTAACTTACCAATTCTTTTTTTTTTTATGTTTACAGAACTGGGGTACAGGCCAGAGTTGTGGTGGTTGGGATGATTCATCAGAGACAGTGGGGAACAGAACAGGCAGATGTACCGAAACACATTGCTGAAAGGAGCAGCGGGGAGACAGGAGGGACCTGCTGCGCCCTGTGGGTCCCTCCCCGGCTGGGGATCAAACTTGTGCTGCAGTGGCCTCGGAGAGCTGCACAGTGCAGAGCTTTAACTCATTGTGCCACCAGGGAGAACCCTAACTTACCAATTCTTAACAAGTTTACCCTCTTTACTTTCTATGTATTTAAATGCAGGTGACCCTGAACAGTGCAGTCTGAGCTTTGCAGGTCACTTGTTTGGGGATTTTTTAAAGGTTTATTTTACACATTCAAGAACTGGGGTGTAGCCAGAGGTGAGGGCGTGAGAGGACTCCCCAGAGACAGAGTGGGGAGCAGAACAGGCAGATCGACTGAAACACACTGCTGAGGGGAGCGTCCTGGGGGTCACTCCCGGGCGGGGTTGAACTCAGGCTGCCGTGGCTGCGGGCAGCCTCATAGTTCCAGGGAGGCCTGTGTGGGGAGTGTTTGTTTGGACGCAGGGGCTCTGCAGTCGCCCCCTGAGCTCCCAGTCCCCCTTGTTTAGGAGTCAGCTTTGTTCATCCTCGCCGTCACTGTTGCTGCTGCTGCGGACACCAGGACCCTGGGCCTCTGAATGTTCCAGAAGAGCCTTTAAGAACAAGGACATTACAGTGCAAGCCAGGAAGCACTTTTCCTCTGCGGGAACTAGTCGGCGCTGCTGGGCAGAGCACTTCAGCCACGGCCCCGGTGTGGTTCCGCACAGCCTCTTCTGTGGCAGGGGGCTGTCTGTGGGGTCCTCGCTCTTTCCTGTGTGTAGACATCTGGAACTCCAGATTTCCAGACCGAGTTAGATTGGTTTAGGGCCCCCCAAAGACCTCATTTGAACTTAACTACCTCTTGAAAGACCTTATTATCTTCAAATAAGATTACATTCCCAAGAACTGAGGGTTAAGCCTTCAGTATATGAATTTTGGGGGACTGACGCTACCCATAATAAATACTGTTACCTACGGTGTAGTCCACATTAAAATTTGTCACTTCTCCCAATAGTGCCCTTTCTCCCCCCCAATGTTTCAGGGTCCAATTTTGTCTCGTCTCTTTAGTGCCTTTCAGCTAGAAGTTTCTCAGCCCATGGTAGAAAAGGGAGTCAAGTTGCCAGGAAACAGAGGTGCTGGCGGCGCCAGGAAGGACTGTGCTCCGCTCCCTGGGGTGGCTTTTCTGACGTCAGATGCGCCAGGGGATGAGAGCCGACCTGGGCCATGGAGCTCTTGAGGAAAGTTGGTTCCAGGGTTCCCCCTGGGCATGTGACACCCTCCTAACTGCAGCTTCCTGATGGACAGGCATGAGCAGTAACACGACTTCCGGTATTGAGGCTTTGTGAACATTCACGCTGCGCAGACAAGTGCCGAGCCCGCGGGAGCTCACCAGTGCGAGGCTCCGTGCGGTGTCTCTCTTCCTGCTTTAGTAAGCCCGTGCTTGAGCAGCTGTCACCCGCTTCATGGGTGCGGCAGCAGAGGCTCGATGTCTCTGAGGACACACACCTCGCCAGTGTGGAACTGATGTAAATCCTGCATCATTGTGTCCCCGAGATGAATGTGTTCTATGTCCGAGTTTTCACAGTTGAAAACGTAGAGCTTTTAAAGAAAAGCCTTTGGCAAAGAGAAGGTCCTGGTGACTCCGAACGGTCCCCTGGGGCAGGAGCGCAGACCTTTGCCCAGGGAGCAGGCCCGGCCCGCCTGTCTTCATCACCCAGGTCCCTCCCAGTTGGTGTGGGGTCCGAGCTGGTTGGGCACCAACACAGTGCAGGCCTTTGGGCAGAGGACACAGGTCACGTGCGGGTCCTGGCAGACCCCTGCTGCGGCATCGGGGTGTGGCGTCTCGGGCGCCTCGTGTTTTCAGCCTCATTGAGGTTCTGTAGTCAACATAGGACTCCACTTCCCTGCTTGTACATAGCTCGCTTAAGCCTGTAACTTAAAAGAAAATGTCTGCCTGAACTTTCCAGGTTGGGTGTGTTCCTGCGCTGTGGTGGGTAGACGCGTGTATATTCTCCGTGTGGAGCGAAGCTTGTCACAGAGCCTTCAAGACACACATTTTGACCAGTGATTTTTCTTCTGGCCAAAGATGTCAGGTTTATCTTCCACAGTAGTTCTCACTCCTTGCTTTCCGTGGACACCACCACCCCGTGTGTGGAGAGTGGTCACGCACGGCATGTACCACTGAGCATGGCGTAACAGCCAACGTAGAAACAAAGCTGCTAAAGACAGTGAGGTGGGGTGTGTGTGACACAAACCGAGACCTCTCCATTGAAGCCTTTACATTCTGGTTTCCTCTTCTAGGTTGTGTCGTCCCATGGATAAGAGCAACACGGTCATGGAGCCCCCTCCCTCTACCCCTTAGAAGGATCGCAGGTGATTTTTTTTTTTTCACGTTATCTTTCAGTTCCTTCAGATTGATGTATCCGTTTTATTGAAACCAAACAGAACTGCCTTTCCCCCCCACTTTCAAGATAGGTGGAAGAATATGAAACGTTAATCCGAAACAGAAGTTAATAAGACAGAAATGAAGGGGATTAGAAATGTCTGAGCTGTGTGGGATAAACAGCCACCCTGGCAGCAGCTTGGGCACTGCCTTTGTGGGCGCTCCCGGGACCACCCAGATTCTGTCTCTGAAATGGACTGTAGATGTCTTGGCCACACCATGTGGGCCTGGGGATTGCTGGGGTGAACGTTCCCTTTCCCTGAGTGTTCTCAGGGGTCTCGGGAAAAGCATGGGCAGTCCTGGAAGGGAAACCACGTAGCAGAGAAGTCAGACACGTACTCTTATTTTTGTAAGCTTCAAAAATGAAAGTCAACAATTAGTTATTTGTTGTACAGAGGGAGCACAAATTCATTGTAGAAAATGCAGACAGAGCCTAAGGACTTTTTAAGTCTAAAGGACTCCTCTTTCCCGGTGAGAGAGCCGAGGCAGGTGTTAGAGAGGAAGGTGAAAGGAAAGGTTCAGAGGCCGGGTGTCTCCAGAGCTGAGTTCCATCCATACCTTGGAAAAGGACAGTTGTCATTCGTTTCAAGATAGCAAATCTCAAAGCAGGAAGAACTCAGAACCTTGGAAAAGATCAAGTCTAAAAGAAGAGAGCTTTTAAATCTCTGTTGACCATCAGCTGTGTAAAGTTTGTGATATGAGGTAAGGGGTAAAGTTAATTTTTCCCTCATCTGAAAGTTCTCTTAACCATTCATTTAAAGGACTAGCTTTTGCTTGTCCGCTGAATTAGTACCTTTTTTGAAAGTCAGTTGACCACAGGTATGGGGACCTGATTCTTGATTATTCCATTGAGCTGTGTCTATGTTTGAGCCAATAGCCCATTGACTTTTTACTATAGCTATATAGAAAGTTAGGTCAAGACGGTAACCCTTTCGGCTTTGTTCTTTTTCAAAATCATCCTGTATTCTTTCTTTTCCATACACATTTCAAAATCAGCTGAACAATTTCTACAAAAAAGGAAAGAAAAAAAAAAAAACCCTGCTGGGATTTTGTTTGCAACTGCTTGAGTCTAGTTTGTGGAGAAGAGCCATCTTAGCAATATTGATCCATGAACATGGTCTACCTCTTCATTTATTTAGATCTGATTTAATTTCACAGACAGAAATTTCAGTATTTGTCCTTTTGGATGACTGTGGAGTCCAGTGTGTGGTTGTGCTGATTATTCTATTATTTTTATTGTATTCTGTTTCCCCGTCATTCTCACGGAGCACATAGGTTCCCTTAATCATAGATAGGGCTCCGTGGAGGTCTTGGTGGTTCTGTCTGTACACATCCCTGTTATTTATGCAAAACAAGTCTGTAGCCAAGTTAACCCTCTTGACTGGTCTTTGCTGTTTGCCTTAGTTACACCAGTGGTGACAGGTGTGCAGCGGAAGGCAGCCTGTCATGATGTGGGCTTGCCCTCCAGGGCTCAGCAGTGATGCAGTGCAGGGCTCACAACCTGCAGCACACCACTATGGTTCTACAGGCCTTCAAGCAAGGATTTTTTAAAGAAGACTTTTAATGATTTTTTAAAAAATATGTTGTAAGGATTGATGGTGACCCACAAAGCCTAAAATATATTATAGAATTATATACCATTTTATAAAAATTTAATATTTATAGAAAAGTTTGCAGGCCTCCCCACCCCCACCCCAATTCACAGCAAAGTTCTGTACTTTGTCCACGTCTGGTTCCTTCATTTCTTAAGCTCCAGTTCTGTTCCTTCCCCTGTAAAAGGGGGCAGTGAGTGTGCACAGACGCAGGTCAGCCACGGAGTTTGCTGTGTTTTTTCTAGAAGTTGTACTCACGCTGACTGCTGTGGGAATGAGTTGTGGGCCTCTTTGCCACCCTCATTGGTTCTCGTGGTACTGGGCACCAGGGTCCTGACCCAGCTCCCATGTCGTTGCAGAGATACACAAAAATCCCATGTGCTGTAACTTAAACTAGTGTGGGTCTGGCTTCATTGAAAATGAGGGGAAGAGACCCTAAAACTTCTAGTGAGGAGGCTTGGAATTTAGAACCTTGAACCCCATCATTGTCACGACCATTTTAAGTGTTTGCTTCTACCAGCTCTTTCTTTGAGCTGCCTACCTGGGAGGCTATGGCCTGCCCAGGAAGGGGAGCAGTGGCCTCATGTGGGTGAACCTGGTTGTGCTTGAGGTGGGGGTGGGTAAGGACTTGAGGGCCTGGGGATCTGAGCAGCTCTGAGTTTTTGGGAGGCTCAGGATAATCTGAGGCCCCAGTGGCAGGTGTGGAAGGGGCTGAGTCTTCTGTCTGAGGTGGTAGACAGAGGCTGTGGCAGGCAGAGAGAGCAAGGGGAGAGACTCATGACCTCCTTCTGAAGACCCTTGGGGGCTCAGGGATCACAAAGTTCAGAGCCAGCGTGACTAGGGAAACGTCCGCCCCTCCCCCCCAGGAGGGGCCAGCTCTCATCACCATCTATCCTGGCCTTAGCTCTTTCAGGGGTGGTGTCTTTGTGTTGTCTCTGACCAATCTGGGGAGGGGTGTCCCCTCCTGGAAGAACTCTGGGCTATATTCAGCCTTTCATCGGTGCTCAGAGTGAGTTTTAAATGACAGAACTCCATGACACGTTGGTTTGCCCCCCAGGTTCCTTGTGGAGGCCTGTCCTCACCCCAGCCCCCTGGAGCCTGCCACTGCCAGCTGTCGACAGGCTGCCCACGGAGAATGTGGACGTGGATGGAGACTGCTTGCCGGGGCCCTGGCTTTACTCAGAGGTAGGCACCGCCTCTGCTCCGTGCCGCCCTGGAGCAGGGCCTGAGGAAGAAGTAAGCTGTTTTCTCTTTGGGTGCAGTAATGGGATTGTAACTTCTTTCCCCATGGGCCTTAGAAAAAGATACAGAGGTAGAATGATGTATCGGCGATGGTCTGCAAAAAGGAGGCTGAGATGAGGCAGGGCTGGCCTCGAGCAGCGCCCATGGTCGGGCGGGCACGAGCGCCACCTCACCAGTCTGTCTGCGAGTGTTGTTTTTCCCTGAGGTAGCCAGAGGGAGCAGCAGCGAGGCTGCCAGACTGAGCCACTTGGGTCTCTGCTGCAGCGCCAGCTCTCCTGAGTGCGAGGCCTGGGGCAGGGTCTTGTCTCCTCAGCCGTGGAGGGGCCGTCGCAGCTGCTGGCAGTCGCTGGGGTGGCTTGAGGAGCTACTGCGTGGCGTCTGGGGCCTGCCCCTGAGCCCGCCACGTCGGGTGCTGGCTGACAGCTCGTGGTGGGGAGGGCACTCGGGAGGAGCTCGGGGTCCACCTCCCGGCCGGCGGACGGGGACATCGGGTGGCTGTGAGCCTTTCTGGCGCTGGCTTAGAGCCGCAGGTTGCAGTCATCCTGTTTGCTCAAACAGTGGGTGCTTGAAGCTCTTCGTTACCTTTCAGCCATTTCTTTTGAAATAGAGATTCACTGGAAGTAGCTAGAAATGAACCGGGGGGCCTCTGGACCCACCTCCTGTTTTCCCCAAAGGGCCGCGTCTTCGGTGTCCCGAGAGCAACATCACAACCAGCAAAGCGGCGCAGGCACCACCGCGGCGCTCACCGTGGCTGCAGGTGTCCCGGCCCCGCGTGCGCGGCTGGGCGCCCGGTCTGCGCCGCCTGACCGCAGAGCGGGGCCAGCGCAGGCCAGCTGCGGTTGCCACCAAGGGGTCCCCTCCAGGGAAGCGTGTACTCTACACAGAAGTAGCTTTTCCCTTGGGACAGATTGATTGATTTACTTATTTATTGTTTAAAGGCTTATTTCATTTATGCATAAAGAATTGGGGTCCAGGCCAGAGGCTCAGGGGCGGTGAGAGGCCTCACCAGAGACAGAGTGGGGAGCAGAACAGGCAGATGGATGAAGTACACTGCTGAGGGGAGCGGCGGGCGGGCCAGGAGAGGCCTGCTGCGCCCTGTGGTCACCTCCGGGGCAGGGATCGAGCTCGTGCTGAAGGGGCTTTAGCTCCTTAGTGCTGCGCTCTAACCCGCTGCACCACCAGGGGGGTCCTCCCTTGAGATTTAACAAAGAAAGCAAGCACACACAGAAGAGTCGGGAAGGGTGTCTGCCGTGTGCACCTGGCCACAGCACGCTGCGCTTTTTCATATTGTCTGAGTTTGGTTGTTAATGTGGGCACTTTCTTTGTTTTTTTTCTTCATTATTTTTTTATTATTACAAAAGTTTATTTTTACATCATGTGGGCACTTTCTTTAAAAAAATTTTTTTTTTTTCTCATCGTATGACATCTGTCACCCAGATACACTGCTATTGACGTTTGGGGACTGTCTTTCCAGGCCTCCTCCTCCTGAGTTGGCTCATAGACTCTGCTCCCCCCTCCCAAGTTTCCAAAGGAACCACTGTTTTGGCGGCTTGCTGGCCCATGTTCAAGGGTTTTATAATGAGGGTCTCACGGAAGGTGAGATGAGTGAGCCTCGGGGCACTCGGCTTCTCGGGGCTCTGGAATGGAGGGGTTGTGCTTGACCAGAGAAGTCCGAGTCTGCATCTGCATCTTGCCTGTCCAGCTTGGCCTTGGCGCCCCGCCTCTCCACGCTGCCCCGTGGGTGGTGTGGTCTCGTGGTCATGGATCTTCTCTCTCTCTTAGAAAGCACCCGCGGTTTGGGTGTCTATGGCTGGCAGCTCTCTGGATGCAGGCAGGACTCTGGCATCTTCCCTACCAGTGGTTCTAACTGCCACGTGCTGCTCTGACCACCTGCTCTCCTGTGTGGTCCCGCGCCCGGCCTTCGCCATGTCGTTCTGTGAATCCTGCAAGCAGCTGACTGGGGAAGATGTTCTCCAGCAGGGGAGGGAGGCTCAGGGGGACAGGCAGCAGCTAGTCACCGGCGGACGTGGCCAGGTGGAGGGGCTGCCTGTAACCCTGGGCTCTTGTGTTCGCCTACAGGTGAGTCCAGGCCAGAATGGGGGACCCCAGGGACCTTTGTCCTCATCTGGACTCAGTTGGGGAGGTGACCAAAGAAGACTTGCTGCTCAAATCTAAGGTAAAGGGCCGGGCCCCCTGGGGCTGACACCCACCCAGGGCCTCCGGCACAGAAGGTTCTGAAGCTGGGGAGCGGCTGCTCCCAGTAACCTCTGCTGCGCCCGCTGTGTAAATGGCAGAGCTGGCGCGGGTGGGCGTGGGGGCTCTCTGCCTGGCTGCAGCCCGATGGCAGTTGCTGACTGTTGGCCGCAGCCCCGGAGCCGCTGGAGGGGGCGGCGGGAGCTCGGGCTGAGTCATTCCTGGGCATCTTCACGATGAGCGGCCAGGAGGCCCGAAGCCTGAAGCAGGCCTGGGTGAGGAAGGTCCAGTGCTGTCCTTGTTCTCAATGAAAGGTCTTTGAATCGGGAACACTTTCCCATGGGTGAGGCTGAAGCAGCAGATGACAAACGGTGACAAGCCCCTTCCCTCCAGGGCCCCCTCCCATGCCACACTCAGGTGTATCTCCTTACTTTCCTTAGGTGAATCTATGCAAATATGCTTCTTTTTCATCGCCCCCATTTGTAAGTAAGTGGCACTGCTGTAGGTCCTTGTGCCGTGTGTGGCACTCATGTGGCAGCGTCTTGAAGCTGCGCCACACCAGCACGTGGCACGCATCCTTTGGGTGTCTGGAAAGCGCATCCCTTTCGTTGTGTGGATCCTTTGCTGAGTGGGCTGGGCCGGTGGCCCTGTGGCAGGCAGGCAGGTGAGGGCTGCGCTCCCAGCAGTCGGGCCTGGGCCAGAGGCCTGCACACACCCGCTCATCCTCCCAGCCGCCTGGGGCGCTCTTTAGCCCTCTGCCCTGAAGTCCTGGCGCCCTGTCCCCGCTGGCTTAGTCTGGGCCTGCCTGGGTGGCTCTTCAAAGGGGCCGGGCTGCTTTTGAAGTAGTTTGGCTGCTAGAGGTGGGCCAAGCCAGGTGCTGGTGTGCTGCCGGAGGAAAGCTGGGCTCCTCCGGAACCTGCACGGAGGGACAGGTGAGTCACGCCGCGAAGATTTCCCTTCCACGGGCCCAGGATGAGGGTGAGCCAAGTGCAGGCAGAGGAGACGAAGGAGGTGGGGAGAGCCCCTGGGAGCCTGGGGCTGGAGCACAGTGGGCTTTGGATGTGCTTCTAGGGCCGAGAGCCTGCAGAGCCGCCAGGCCTGCGTCCCGAGCATGTGGGCAGCGCCTCTCTGAGCCTCCAGAAACCTACAGAGCGGCCAGGATGTGACAGGTGGCTCGTGCGGACTGGAGTGAGTGTCGATGACAGAGTTTTTTAAATCACCAAAGGTGGGCTTTAAGCCTGAGGACCAGTCTGATGGATTCTCCCACAGTCCCCGGGTTGATCTCAGCTGCTGTACCTGTACCAGGTACGGAGTGCGGCAGCCAGCGAGTCAGGGACAGTGAGAGTCAGTGGTGGCAAAATGCGGCTATCTCTGACAGGTGTTGGTCTATAGGTTTCGGTCTCATTTTCCCGCATTTTCCTGACCTAAAGAAACATCGATGTTCCCTACGCACAGAGGGCAAACGCCAGGATTAGGTCATGACCCTGACGGCTGCAGAATTGGGGGGAGGGGGGGAAGGCACAGGCCTGGCCTCTGCTCCCCCGCTGCTTTGACTGACGGCGTTGGTCCCAGCAGGTCGCTTCCGCGGGCACCGGGTCCCAGGGCAGGGCGAGCCGCCCACCTCGCAGCCACGGCACAGCTCTCTTTCGTCCTTTGGCCTGGGAGCATCCTAGATCCGTCACGCCAAGTGCAAATGGCAGAGAAAGCTTTGGGAAGAGGGAAAAAAAGATGCTTCACTTCACTGGTGGCTCCAGATGTGGAGCCGAGGAAAGCAGGCTGCTGGCGTGTCCAGGAGCGCCCAGGAGCGCCCACCGCGGAGCGTCTCCGTGAGGGCGATGGAGCAAGGGGCCCACACCTTGGAGTGGGGCAGGAGGGGAGCTCACCTGGGAGTTTCATCGTGGAGGTATCAGTAGCTCCTAGGAGGGGACAGAGACAGCAGACTCAAGCAGTAGATACAAAGGGGGAAGCTGGCGGCCGTTTGAATATTCGTCAAGAAGAAAATGGACGGATAGCTTATGACTGGCCCTCGGGAAGCAGGGACAGGGCCGACCGGACGAAGGAGAGGCTGACCCCGTGCGCAGATTCGGGTCGAGCCTGCGGTTGTAATCGCAGTAGAGGGTGGCGCTCGGAGTCCCTCACCCCAGGGGAGGCGAATCGGGCCCTGTGGGGGCACAGGGGCGAATTACTCAGGGTGCAGATGAGTTGCTCTAAAAGACCCTCAAATACAGCGGTTCAAATGGCAGCGCTTCCACTCCTTCCCGCAAACAGCCCAGAGGCAGGTTGGACGGTCCGTGGCTGCCATTGTCGCCTCGTGGCTTTCTGCCCCGAGTCCAAGGATGCCCAGCGCCTGTGCCACATCTGCATCCTGCCTGATGGAAGGGGAAGTGCAGGGGTCATGTGGGACCCAAACTGGCGCGCTCTGTCATCCCACGGACGGGCCGTCATCTGGATGGTGGTGTCACCCCGGGGAGCCGAGCCCTTATCGCAGCAGCCCGGCCGGCCGAGTCTCAGCGCACACACGTGCGCTCTCCTCTGAAAGCCGGGGACACTGGCAGGCAGCAGGCGGCCTCTTGCCAGCTCACCAGAAACCCAAGTGTTTCTCGTGGGCAGCAAGACAGGGAGTCCTGATTTGTACCAGGCTCCGTGAAGTCACAGGGCAGAGGAGACCGCCCCCCGCTCTCAGGGAGCCCGTACCTGGGGCGGGGGGGGGCCGGAGGCTTAAACGGGCACGGCCCCGGGAGAGTGGGCCGGGTGAGGAGGGCCGCGGGCGCATGTTCACTTTGTTGCTGATACTTCTGAGTCTGACTCGATTGTTCTTGGGGATGTTCTTGTGGGCACATGACAGAAAATACCCCGCCGTCAGGGAACACCCTGTGGGGCTGGAGGCCCCCCGGGCGCAGGCTCAGCGGGCGTCCTGCCGGCACTGACGCTTAGCTCTTCCTCTGTCGTCTCGTGCAGGGCACCTGTCAGTCATGCGGCGCGACCGGGCCGAACCTGTGGGCCTGTCTTCAGGTAACCTCTGCTGGGCCGGCGCTGCGGGGACCGGGCGGGGGCTCGGCCTGACGCCTCGGGGGCCCTAGCCGGGAGGGCACCGGCAGAGGAAAGTCCACTGGAGAGGACGCTAGAGCAGGCGACCCCAGCGCACTTCAGGCAGAGCTACGGCCACTGTGCGTGGGCAGCAGGTCTCGCGCCTGGCATCACTGCCCAGTCGCTGTCCCTCCCTGGGCCAGCTGGGTCCCTGCTGTCCCATCTATAAAGTCAGGTCCACATCCCTGTCTGCCCACCTTCTGGGGTCAGCAGAGTGTGAGGAGACGCTCCTGCTGTGGACGGGGCCCGGGTGGTCACTGCTCACTGGGAGGGGGAACGGCAGGCAGCGAAACGTGATGCTGACCGCTGAACGGTGGCATTATGGGGCCATTTTCATTTTTTTTCTAAGTTTTCCAAAATTTCTGCAGATAAATATGGATTTTATAGTCATAGGAAAAATGACTACAACTCAAAGTATTTTAAAATTTATTTTACTTATTTATTTATGCATACAAGAGCTAGGGTGTAGGCCAGAGGTGTACAGGGGTTCAGAGGATTCCCCAGAGACAGAGTAGGGGGCAGAAAGGTTGATCTACTGAAACACCCTGCTGAGGGGAGCCGCGGGGAGACAGGAAGGGTCTGCCGAGCCCTGTGGGTCACTCTCTGGCCGGAGATCAAACTCAGGCCACAGTGGCTGCCCGTAGCTTGATAGCGCTGAGACTTAACCCCTCCACCACCTATACCTGAACTTTCTTTGAAAAACAAGACCACAGATAAACCAGCTAGCCAGCCCGAGGGTGCGAGGAGCTCGAAGTTCAAGTCTCTTGGCAGAACTGGAGCTCCCACAGCCTCTGAGCTGTCACTCATGGTGGAGTTTGCAGCCAGACACACCTGGGCCCCCAGGAAACAACAAGAAGCACGAGACGTGGCCCTGTTTGTGGGAACCCATGGTCCCCGCAAGAGACAGGGAAAACTCGTGCAGAAAACGACACAGTCCTAGGGACTCAGCAAAGGGTCACTCCTCAAAGGCCCTCCCTTGCCCGGCCCGCATATGACCTGTGCAGACGGCCCCTGCTGGTGGCGGGGAGGGGCGCAGTGGGGAGGTGCTCGAGTTGGGCCTTGCAGGATGAAAAGGCTTGAGTAGAGAGTGCAAAGCTAATTCATGGTCGGGACCCCCCACCTCTTCCCCACAGGGGGCACTGGGTCAGCTTGGTCCTCACAGCCTCTGCGCATTCCGTTCTTACCATGAGAAGATGGCCATGAAGCCCAGGCTTCCCCACAGAAGTGTGCTCCGAGTAACGGCCCTTCAGGAAGCGGGGTTTGCTTCAGGGGGCAGGTCTGGCGGCCCGTAGCCGGCCTCACCTTGGCCCAGCCCCACCGCCCGGGCCTGCACTGCCTGCAGGAGCTCAGTGGCCTGGGCATCCTGCCGCCTCACTCCAAGGGCAGGGACAGCTTTCATGGTGGCCCCGCCCCATGGGGGTCCTACTGGGAGCGGTGGGGCACTCACTGCTGGCACCACCCACCGTGCCAGCCCCACCTGCCCTTCCCGCCCCCCAGGTCTCCTGCCCCTATGTTGGCTGCGGAGAATCTTTCGCCGACCACAGCACCATTCACGCCCAGGTGAGTGCGGTGGCGGGAAGCCGCAGCAGGTTGCTGCAGGGTCCTCAGCACAGGCCAGCGAGCGCAGCAGCTGGGGGCGAGGGCCTCTGGCTGCCGGGTCTCTCCTGAGACTGAGGGGCCAGGTAGGCCCAGGTCTCCTGGTCCTGATTTGGATTTTTGTCCTCTAGGCAAAGAAGCACAACCTGACCGTGAACCTGACCACCTTCCGGGTGTGGTGCTACGCCTGTGAGAAGGAGGTGTTCCTGGAGCAGCGGCTGGCACCCCACCCCCCAGGACCCTCGCCCAAGTTCTCAGAACAGGTTGGGGTACCATGGGCTTGATGGGTTGGCGAGACAGTTGTTGACGGTGGGCACTGTGAGCCCAGTGTCAGCGGGGCTGGGTTGGTGGGGCCTGGATGCCGCTGCCCCTGGTCAGGGTCCCCAGGTGACTCTGGGGACCTCCTGCCCGCAGGTGCCCCCAGCCCCAGCCCCATGCCAAGGACAGAGTAGAGCTGGCAGGGGAGGAGGCGGGTGGAAATGCAGGGCTGGAGCCGGGCCTGTTCAGGCCCTGCCGGGCCACCGCACGTCTCAGCCACGCCCAGGGCGTCATGTTGCCACAGCTCGCCGGCCCGGCACACCTAGAGTGCACCTTGCAACCAAAAAGGGTGACAGTGGTTCATTATTGCAAACGAAACCCCGGTCCAGGGGTTCCCAGGGCGAGGTCACTAGTGTCACCCCTTTCCGTAGAGTCCGCTCTGGACGGGGCACAGCCCCTCCCCCTTCCACCATGATTCCTCACTCTGGGCCCTTAACAGGACTCCCCACCGCCCTCCCACCCTCTGAAGGCAGTCCCGATCGCCGTGGCTGACGAAGGGGAGTCTGAGTCCGAAGATGATGACCTGAAACCTCGAGGTCAGGGGCCCTGGAGGGCGGGGTAGGGTGCTCTCCGGCGAGGTCGGGGGTCTCGGCGGGTCAGGGAGGGTGGCGTGGTGGCCGCTGGCTCCCGACACCCTTGGCATGTGATCCCAGCAGCCAGCCCTGCACCCAGCCTCCTGGCCCGGACTGTGCACACGGTGGGCGGGGCGAGGTGGGGGCAGTCAGCCACCGCAGCCGCCTTCGCCAGCCACCCAGGGCCACCTGGCGTTGGGTCCCGGGGCCTCGGGAACGGCTGCTCGTCTCCAGGCGTGAACCGACGGGCACTCGCCCCTCCCGTGTGCTTTGACTCCCAGGCCTCACGGGCATGAAGAACTTGGGGAACTCCTGCTACATGAACGCGGCCCTGCAGGCCCTGTCCAACTGGTAGGTTGCGGCCTTGTCGGGTGGGGGCGCGCCTGTCCCTGGCAGAGCCCAAACCAGCCGCTTCGGCCCCAGGCGACGCTGTGGGTGTGAATGGGCGCCTGTGTGCGAGGGCACGGAGATCCTTAGACCCTCACGCCCTTTGACCCAGCAGCCCCTCCTCCTGCAGTTGCCCCGAGCAGATAACCCAAGAGATGGGGAAAGCTTTCTGTACCAGGATGTCTGTGCTGCGGCTGCGGGAAGCCCCATCAGGGCTCAGCCTGAGCCCAGGAGCGCAGCCTGCGTGGAGTGCGGGAGGAGAGGGGCAGGAAGGGTCGCACGCGCTCAGTGGGACAGACGCCCCCAGCTGGCTGCGGCCCTGGCTCCGGGAACCCAGCCCGCCGGGCAGCCCCTCCCAGCACGGACCAGTGTGTCTGTGTGAGAAAGGAGGGTGTGGGCACAGCTCTCGACGGCTGGCACTGCCCCGCTCTTCAGAGTGGCCTCACGGGCCAGGGTCAGGGCTGATCATCACAGTCTGCTTATCTGAATTTTCTAGTTTTCTACCAGGTGGAAAACATGTTGGAAAAAGGGAGGGACTCGCCCTCGGCTGGGGCAGGTCCTTGGGAGAGGCACAGCTGGTGGTCTCTGCGCTCGCCCCGGGGCCCTGCAGACTCCTCCTGCCGGAGGGGGGGGCAGTTCCCAGGCCTCTTCACCAGGGACCGCAGAGTGGCCTCCACAGTGGTCTGCTGCTCCCCAGCTCTGGAGGCTGGGAGGCCACGGCGGCGTTGGGGTGCTTTCTCCCAGGCCTCTCCCTGGCTCGCGGACGGCTTTCACTCGCTGCCCCCCGTGCATGTCTGCGGCCAGATTTCTCCTCTTACGAGGGTGCCTGTCCTTTCAGGTTAGGGGCCCTGAGAACTCATTTCAACTTAATTATCTCTGTACAGACCCTGACAGGTCCTCAACATGTGAATTTTGGGGGACACAGTTCCGTGTGGGGTCAGTCTAGACATCTGCAGGCATTTGTGGCTCCAGAGGCCCCTGTGTGTTCCCAGATGGCACCTCTACCTCCTCCTAGCCCTCACTGAACGCTGCCATCTCCTCTGTTCCCTCCTGACTGGCCTCACTCCGCCCCCACAGCCCTCCGCTGACTCAGTTCTTCTTGGAGTGTGGCGGCCTGGTGCGCACAGATAAGAAGCCAGCCCTGTGCAAGAGCTACCAGAAGCTGGTCTCTGAGGTCTGGCACCGGAAGCGGTGAGTGGCCGAGGCCTCCGAGGTGTGGGAGGTCTTTTTGTCAGTCCCCTCGGTCGAGCCCCGGCCATGGTGCTCGCAGGAGCCCTGCCCGGTTGCATCTGCGCTCTGGGGAAACAGCCAGAGAGGCTGAAATGCCTGCTCAAGTGCACACGTTGCCCGAGGTGGAGAGGGTGGGCCCGGCGGAGAGCTCGCTGGCAGCGCCTCGTGTGTGGTGCCCGCGCCTGGACCTCGCGGGCTGCGCGCCAGGCGCTCTCCCTCGGGTGGCCGTGCTGACGGGCAGGGGCCTCCTCCGTGGGAAATGAATTTAAAAGCCAAAAGCTTGGGTTAGATCCAGGAAATTTAAGCTGGGAAAAAGGTAGAGCGGGTACAAGGAGCCATGTAATGTGAAAGGCCGGAGACGTCGTCTTACAGGCAGCCGCAGTCCGGAAGGCGCCTGTGGGCGTGGCCATTCCCGCGTGGGAGCCTGTGCCTGTGGACTGCGTGGGAGAGTCGGGTCCCTTCTGGCGGCCGTGCTGGGTAGCGCTGTCAGTGGGGTTGCTTCTGGTCGACAGCTCTGGGATTTAGGTTTTTCAACAATGAGGACGTATTGCCTTGGAATTAGGAAAGGTGCCGTCTGAGGATGAAACACTTAAAGTGGGCCTGTCCTGCCCTAGCCGACGTGACGCCGCCGCGGGCAGAGCTCTCTGCCGGTGGCGTCCACCTGACTTTCCCCCTGGCCGGAGCAGTGCGCGGGCCTGCCTGCGCTCGGGCTCGCTTCGTCTGTCGAGCGGCGGGCAGCTGCCACCCTGGGCGGAGTGACCCGATGGCGGCGCCTGCACTAATGGTCTCGTCTTCCTGCAGCCCCAGCTATGTGGTGCCCACCAGCCTGTCCCACGGGATCAAGTTGGTCAACCCGATGTTCCGAGGCTATGCCCAGCAGGTAGGCCATTCAGGCGGCCTAAGGACACCCAGGGCCACCACCAAACAGGCTTTGAGCCCAAACCGGAGCGGGGCGTGGTGAAAGCAGCTGAGTGCCTTGAGGCGGCCTTTCCTCAGGACACAGGGCCTCCCGGCCCCACGTGGCAGATGGGGATACTGAGGCTCAGCAGACCAGGTCGCTGGCCTGGTCACTCAGCGGGGACATCACAGAGGGGAGACATGCTGCAGGCTGACCGCGGCTCCTGCGTGCCCCAGGGCTGTGCGCAGCCCGCACCTGGTTTCTCACTCCCCACACCGTCAGGGTTTGGGGACATCAGGAAACTTCAGGGACATCAGGAAACCGTTTAAAAGTGTCTTTAAAATCTAGCGAGCCCCCTTGAAGCCAAGGCTGCCTTTCTGTTGCGTCCAGGATGGGGCCACGGCAAAGCAGAACGCCGTGCATGTCTCAGTCCCGCGGGGGTTCCGTGGTCCTGTGTCTGACCCAGACGGCTGCGTGACTTCGGGTTCCCCACTGGGCTGTGGACGTAGCTGGACCTCGCTGGTGGCCATTTCTGCTGCACATTCCAGAATGTGGTTGCAGGGTCACTCCAGGGAAGCCTTCAGCCCCAGCGCTTATGAGCAGCTACTGCCAGGAAGCGCTTCTGTGGCCAGCCCACACCCAGGGGCAGTGGCCACAGGCAGGTCCTGCTCCTCGCTCAGGTCCCATCGCATGTCACGTGAGGTGGGATGCAGGCCCGGCCGGGCCATCCCTCCACGCAGAGCGCATCGCATCTGTGCGGGCACCCCACCGGCCCGGGGGTCACGTGAGGACACGATGGGTAGGCCTGGTATCCATCTGGGCCCCAGAGGCCTCTCTGGATCCTGGGCGGTTCTGAGTCTGAGGTGGGGATGCAGCTGTGGGCCTCTCTGTGGCAGAGGACGCTACTGCCATGCTTCTACATTGTTGGACAGAGCTTCTTTGTTGAAGGAAAGAATCAGAAAGGGAGGTCGGCGGCCTACAGAAGGCCTTTTTTTTTT